GGTAATTATTTTTATACTGATGCATTGAGTTCTGAGCTTTAGACTGTTATTCTGTGTTATTCTCATCTCATTCATTAGAGCGACCCGAATGGTGGTCTATTTTGGTCTGATATTTTTGATGAGATCAATTTTCGGTACAGACACCGCACACCACTTAATATTACCACAAAAACGATGTTGTATTCTGTATAATACGAATTCGTTTGTTTGTTAAATTGTGTATTGACTACATACGTACATGAATTGGTTTTTACTTAGTACTTTATATAAAGTCGATCCTGCATTTACTTTTTTGTGGCATGAATCGACAACTTTTTTTAACCATTGTGAATGTATTGGTTCTTTTGTTCTAGTAAGCATTTCTATGTGTATCGTTCCATGGTCAGCCGTCTTTCTTTGCAGGACACAAGGTCCTGCCATTAAACTAACTCAGCATGGGGTGTTGACGCTCCCTTAAATTGTAGGTTTTAATAGCCAAGCACCGCAGACATTTCAAGAATTTCGATATTCTTTTTGCTCAACTACAAGGAGGCTTCTTAAAATGACTGTAGGTGGGTTGATAAATCTTTCACATCAACTTTGCGCAATTTATTTCATCTGATAGCTTCTTAGCTTAATAGGAGCAATTTGAATTGCTCACACTCCCTACACAAGAACGGTTCACAGTCATTTCTTTCGTTATTTTTGTGTCTCTCATGTCCCGAAACTGAACACAAAATGGAGTGTTTGTTTTTTTCCAGATTATTTGACGTCTACACTAACAAGACTTTCACAAGATTGTTATATTAGATTGTAACTACGCATTATTTTCGTCTTTTATGTAGACACCGGGTTGTTGAGAAATAGTTGATAATTGTTCAGCATTCGTGAATATAAGTAACGTAGAATATAGTAGACATATGTTAAGAAGCGGTTTTCTATTAAGAACTCTTGTAAGTGAAATCCTAATAAATCTGTGATATATAAACACTAGTTATGGTCTCTCTTAGCCAAACGAGGAGATTAAAAAATATTTAAAGTCATACACCTATTAATATGTATATACGACATATATATATTACCTACTATTAATTCCCTTATGAGATTAGGGAAGTCAGTTAGAAATTGCCAAGAACCAGTAAATGAAATTAAAGGGTTTCTTTCTCTTCTTATTTTTCTTTCTTTGTCCCTTTCACTCTGATATCCTTTCTTTTTCTTTGTATATTCCTCCTTTCTTACTATCTTTTTAAAATAAAAATTAATAACATTTAAACAATCATGAGAAGGGTTAGGTGGTCTCCGTCTTAAAGACTCTTTAAAGAAACGACCTTATCAACCCGAAAGAGAAGCCTACATTCCCCCAAACAGAAAATTCATCTTCAAGCGTAGCACATCCAGCACACCAACGTACTAGTCAACAAAGTATCCTGTTGTCATTCGGAATGAATTTATTTAACGATGTACGTTTTAGCTCAAGTGTCATTTGTGAGTAAAGTATTTGTAAAGTATATTGCCAGAGTATATAAGGACCTTTTTATTAAGGTACAAATTAAAGTTTTTTCTCCGAGCAAACTCGAAGTCTTCTCAACTGCTTGCGCGTGTTTATAAATTTCAGTTCCGTTAATATTATTTTTCCCTCTGGTTTTTATGGTTTTGTTCTTTTCTTATTTTTCAAAAATATTTTATTTTATTTGCCATGTCAAACTCATCACCCTTTGTACCACTTGAAATGTAACTGTATTCTATATTTTAGTTATGTTAGACACGATTGACATTCCTGTTTTCCACCTTCCGACAGATGGATTTCGTATTACTGCTCTCAGCAGGACCACAAGTTTCTTGTGTATTGAAGGCCACAGTTACAAATAGAACTGGGAAAGTAATTTCCTGTCTAACAAAATGACAATATGAAGAATTATTCTAGTGGCGGGCGGGAAATAAATTGTTTGCAAAGTCTTGTAGGAGAAGAGGGCACGGACTGACGATGTAATTTAACAAATACAAAAAAAATTACATAAAATTTGTTCCGTAAACTTTTTGGATATAAATTTAATTGTCTATGAAATTGTTTTGTGAATATTTGAGATACGAATATTTTATTTACGTTTAAAATATTTTCAAATCTCTTATTTTTCTTTATTATTTTGTTAACTATTTGCACATATATATTATTAACTGTGAGCTAATTTAACAGAAAATAAAAAAAATAGTTTATAAATTATTAAAGAAAATGAAGAACATTCGTATGTTCTTTCAAATAATTTACAATACAATTTCATAGACAATTCAATTTGTATCCATTAAGCTTACGGAATAAATATATATAGTTTTCTCATAAAATTATATCAAAATTTTTTGGTGTACAACAAACTTTAATATTAGTGGTGATCTTTCTTTTGACAGATCAGTTATCAAGGTTAGAATATCTAAATTATGCAGCATAATAGATGGTTCTCTGTTCTTAATTTGTACCCAGAGAGGAAGACAGAAAGAGATAAAGGCTCTAAGTGCTAGTAACTCCATCAAATCACAAAATAATTTTAAGAGGTTTAGTTTAGATTATGTGGAATCTATGAGTAGTAATTTAATGCACCCACAAAGTGTAACAATTGTAATGTTATGATGTATAAACTCTACGCTATATATCTGTAGTCCTGGTAGTCTAAGTTCAAAACTTAGTTAAAAATTTAAAGCTATTTCATCTGGGATTCTTTTAAATACCCGTATCTGTACTCATATGTTTTTGATGGCATTAAATTTTAAAATGTGTATGTTTAAACAAAACTGCCCGTGTTTTGGATATATGGATATTGATCCCAATCTCTGTGAAAAGTGAAATTCTGCTACAAATAAACGCTTTATTCTCACAATGAATTCATTTGCATTTGCATTTGCATTTGCCTTTGTAACTTTAACTCATTTTCAATTCAAATCAGTGTCAATAGCTGCTTTATGTGCGTATCAACGATTTATTCAATTCCTACGCATCCGGCATGAAATCAAAATGTATTTACAGTACGGCTCGACTACATTAACGGACTATCGAACCATCAGAAGTCAAACAGTTCTGGTTGCTTCTTCTTCTTCTGGTTGCCGTTGCGTATGAGTGGCTTTCGGTTTGATGACGGTTTTTTCTCGAATGTTCTTCTTCTTCTGCTCCTTGCGTTCAAAATGTTTACTTATGCTAAATATTATCACTGAGAAAGTAGAGGATGCCAGAGTCGATGGAGTTGATGTTGCTTTCATTTAATTTGCATAATGTTTGTGAAATGTTCTGAATTTAGTTATTCCTTTCAGTCCAGAGATGCAGGTAGGGGTAGTTGAAACTGTTTTTGCAGTTGCATTAACGAATGCATTAACGAAACTTAGTCAATGCAGAAGTAATTTATGCGAATATTATTGTTTGATTAACCGGTTCACTCAGGTATGATATGGTTAAACTATAAGTTGAGTTAGATAAGTACGGTGTTGGTCGATTCATCTACCTGTCCATATAAAACTTGATATAAAACTTGAAGGGTTCAAATTTATTTTAAAACTGTGTTAAAGTCTCAGTCTAAGATGCTGTCTCAGTCTGAGATGTTCTTAGTTATCTAAAACGCATCATACGCATCATGCATGTACTAAATATTGAGAATGCACTTTTTGTGTCTTTCTTGCAGTTGCGGCCAAAATTATAGACGGGAAAATAAAATCTGTTAGCATGGTTAGCATGGTAACCCGATGTTAGTCAGCCTACCAACAATAAAACCGATATCTCAATTTATAGAGTCTTCCATATTGAACAGTTGCTAACTTGTGAGTAGATGTGAGTAGATGTCTGTCTGTATATTGTTGAACTTTCCCATTTTGCATTTAATTGAATTATGCAGAAATACTTCAGTAAGTGTTTGCATGTGTTAACGGTGTGCCTGGATAATTCAAACGTTTCAGATGGATTCCTAAGTCACCTTAAATGGCTAGACCACCAACATCATCGCAAATATTATAGTTTGTCGACATGTACATGTAATTTATACTGAACTGACGGCCCTTAAAACAATTGACTGTGTTGTGAATAGATTAAATATGTATATTATGGTTCACAATACCGCTTTCGTAATATTAACTACTTCTGTTTGATGCTGCAGTGGCCAGCGCCTCTTTTAATTAAAAATATTCTTTTGAAAACAAACATTTTTTTACAAAATTGTTTACTTTAATTGATTCCTGATTTTCCATTACAGCATTCTAACGCTTTTGTTTCTTTCAATTTATTTTAAATAACCTCCTCTTATCTTCCTCTTTATCGGATTGCATGTCGAAAGTATTTAAAATTCAATTAAAATATTTCATTTTTCCATTCTCAATTTTACATGAAATATTTCTCAATGGAGCTAGCAGCTAAGTACATTTATTTCATGATTGAATGATATTTGTTTTTTGTTTTTTTTTGTTTTTAATTTAATTAACTTATTTTTGTATCAAAGACAAAGCGTTATAGAATTAACTTTACTCTTCAATTTAATAAAAAATTTTCATCTTCATTCATTTTAACTTGCGACAACAAAAAATTCCGAAATAATTAATGATTGAGTGCAGAAGTGGATCCGTCATCTACTTTTCTGAAATGTACTAGAACAAAGTTGACACCTAAAAGTTATTCTTATTTAAAAATTAATCCAACATCATCCTTCTGGCTTTCATGGAATCAAATGATGTTATGGATTTATCAAGAGTCTTACCTTCTAAGTTCTGAATAGCACAACTCCTGTTCCGTTATCTACTTTTCTAAAATGGAATTTGACGAAGTTGACACCTATAAAGTTCAATTTTACCTATATTTTCTGTATGTGGCATTTTATTGTCTTGAAATTAGTCCAACATCATCATTCTGGCTGTCATGGAATGAAATGATATTAAGGATTTATCAAGAGTCTTAGCTCCTAAGTTTTGAATAGCGTAACACCTGTTCTGTTATCTACTTTTCTGAAATGGAATTTGACGAAGTTGAAACCTATAAATATGTCACCTATATGAAGTTGGAAATATTTCACCTATTGGTAAAATATTCTCTGTTTATGGCATTTTATTATCTGGAAATTAGTCCAAAATCATCATTTTGCCTTTTATGGAATTATGGATTTATCAAGAGTCTTAGCTTCTAAATTCTGAATATTTACTTCTGCATACTTTTGCCCCTGAAGGATATTCATACATAAAATTTAAAAAGTTTTTTTCGGATTCCATTCTTTAAAATGACTAAGAGTTTATAATCAAAACAAGTATCTGCAGATTAATACCTAATAAATCAGTTTCCGTGGTTTAGATTTTGTTAATCTAATTTCTTATATATATTATATAAAAAATATATTTTTAATTTCTTTCCTCCTCGTTTCTTAGTTTATGTGCTTGACACATTTTTGCTTTATATGAAAACTTTTCTTGTTTCTTTCTCTAAACCATTCAATATCACACCTGATCTTACGTTTGTTCCCTTGTAATTTTTAATATCATTTAAAACAAATCCATATCTATAAATAAATCGCTTCAATGCAGTTATAATTTGAGAGGCTTCCGAACAGAGGCATCAATTATGTGAGTTTCATCAACAGATGAACCGAATTTTCTTCGTTCTGTTCGCATAAATGGGTTGCCATTAAATCGTAAAATCCTTCATTGACTTTTACACCAACGCCCAAAGTAAAAGATACTTTGAAAAATGGACTAAATTTTTAAAATGGTTTAATTCGGAAATAAAATTTTACATATGATAAATTTTGATAGCGCAATTCACCTTTGTTTTAGTGCTTACGCATAAAATCCGCGCGAAGGTGTTCGATTTTATGGCCTCCCCATGAAATGCTTGAGTCGTTCTGGATGCTCTATGCGGACGCCAAAAAAAACGAATTTCATGGATGCGTGTGTAATCATTGGTCGCTTGTTATCGCCTAATTGCGCTCATTCAACGTCTGCGAAGCACCCATCACTGCGCGGCGCGGCACTTCGTTATCAACGCACATCCATTTAATAGGTTTGTGCACCTCCGCCTCCTTCCCCACTAACAGTTGTTCGTTCTTCCATTTGAATATACACAGTTTTATGAATGAAAATATTTTAAGTGCGAACTTTGCCATTAAAATGACTATCTTCGCTCGAAATGACTGGAGATGTTGCAATAAAAGTGTAAAAGTGGGTGCGACAAATCTGCACGGAGTAAATGAGGCGAGAACGATGAAATCCATTTAAGAATTGAAAATGAAAAATGTCAATAAAAATTCTTCGCGCTGATTGAGTTCATTCTTGCGTGATTTCTCTTTAGAGACTATGCCAATGTTAATACAAAGGTCAAATTTTTGTGTACTCTTGGATGTATGCAAAGGCTACACAATGCTTCAACTCAATATTTAAATACATTTATAATAATTGTGTCCAGTTTTTTAAATGGAATAAAAAACTAAGATGCCCGATAAAGAGATTACACTAACAAGATCTTCCCATCGTTTTTATAAAAATTTATTTTGTGGCTGTAGCAATTAGAATTGACAGTTTTTGTCACACCTTAATCATCTTTAAAGAGGACTGGGTTATCATACCTCCAGGCCAAAGGCCATACAGTATCACATAGTTACTTTTCGTGAATGCAATGGCCTACCGGCAGTAATATGTAAATGTTCACTGCCTTATATGCAGCAATTCACTTCAATGGCATATCCAACTGGACTAAAGAAATTTGATGTAAAAAATTGTCTAAATTTTTGTCTAAAGTTTTAACAAACTGGGCATGTCTAGCGGTTGTTAAACGATCCATATTATAAAATGCCAAACCCGAATATAAACACTAGAATCAGAACCATAAATGTTACTTATATTAACTGATAAAAGAAAAGAAATCTGTACCAAGACTACTATAAAACTATGTCCGATCGGGAATGCAATAAAAAGAATAAAAAAATAAAAAGAGATGGATTAAAGAAATTGAGGAAGACCTGATGACGGTTAATATAGAAAATTATAGTAAAATATCGTACGATTATAAGAGACATATGGTGAATGAATTAAAATGATTGTTTTAAAATTATATCTATTAAAAGTTAAGTACCATTACTCAGCGCCATGAATCATATACCTCTGTATCAGAGTTTCAAAAATTAATTCATTAGGCATAAACATTTTTTATGGCTTCCATAAAGAGTTTAGAGCCTAGTTGACATTTAAACAATTACTTCGATGCTTCGATTATGGAAGTATCAAATTCTATTTGTTCGAGATATTGATGTTAACTAATTATATATAGATCGAATCTATAATACAGTTATAACAGAATTAGATCCTATAAGTTACGGTTCACAGTTGTGCTTTTCAAAAATATATAGTTGCCGTTTTTTGTCATAATATTACTTGATCATGTCATGATTTTAATTTTGGTCTTAATACTTCCTTAACATATTCAATTTTCTTTAACTATATGTGAATCTTATAATTTGTAGGCAGTAACGGAATATCTTCTACATATATAGCACGATGGAAACAGATGATTTTTGTTCCAAGAAAAAAATTCGTGAGGGAGTAAGGAAACAGTAGTAGTATTAATAGATATACAAATGTCTTGTATATATTACGGAAAAGCTACTTTATTATAACTTTGATTTAGGCGATAATCCATAAACCAAATTCCTTATATTGTCTTCATTTTACATTTGATGCACTATAGGTTGTAATGTTATGAGTTCAGAAAATTCATAGAAAGATTTGATATTTATAGTACTGACACCTTATACTTGTTCTGACCTTTTCTTCTTCACAATTATATGTTTACGTTAATGTTCATATATATGTTTACGATTTTCTGGGTCCATTTAAACTAAAAATCGTCCTCTCATGCTTGATAATTTTCCTTTAAGTAAAAAAAAAACACTGATATTCCTCAAGTTAAATACAGCAGTTAAATTATAATCCCAGTAAATAGTACATAATCCTTCCATCCTTAATACTACACTTCTACATCCCTTCAGTTAGTTGCAGTTGTCCACTTAAGTACATGATAAATAAATTTACATGCAAGTAATCAAGGCACTGACACTCGAAGGCAATTCAAATGATGTACGGTAATCACAACAGTTTGTTACTGTCACTCAAAGTGTAAAAGCTCTGACATAAATATTGCGTTCCCTGACCAAAATAATGGCACGCATAGTGCCACCTTCCCGAAAAACTCACTTAAGAGCCGAACCATCAGCTTAGAACTCAAGCAAAGCCCCAATACATACTACGAAAAATGCTCTACTAAGTGTCTATCATAAATTCAACAACAATGGCTATGGTAATGATGGAATGTAGGGAAAGGGTGTGTGTTGTGTGTGTATGTATGAATGAGTATGAATGAGAATGACTGCATATGATTGTGTACAATTGTGTGTTACAGGGCTATTTGGGGTGAATAGATGTTATTAGCATCATTGACGGCGGTTCCATGTCATTCAAAGTTATGCAGCAGCAAGTTGAGTGTACATTTGAAATATTTTTCATTCATTCTATGCTTCTCATATCAACAACAACAACATCTACACCAAGAACAACAATGAAAATAATAACAACAAATGGCACTAACAGAGCACAAAAGCAAGTACTGGACAGCCAAGTGCCAATGAAATAAAAAAATCTTCACAGAAACAAACGCATTTCGGACGGCTAAAGTAAGCAGTTAGTACGTTTCGACGGACGTGAGCTTGCAGTTGGAGAAGATATTACAAACCAAGAAGACCGTAAATATTCCTATAAGATGAGAAGTTAAAAGTCGCAAAATATAAAAGTAAAAAATAAGACATAAGACTTAAGACATAAGACTTTAAATGCTAAACAAAAAGATTAAGTGATGTGAGAAAGTATTTATAAAAACGTGACTAAAAGTTTTCTATGCAAAAACAGAAGCAATTCAAATTAATTTATAAATTTAGTGATTTAATTATAATAATTAAATTTGAAAATAGTTTTATGAAATCAAAAATTCCAAAAGAAAATTAAAAATCAATGCATATAAAACAGGAAAAAAATTAAAAAAAAAATACGGAAAAAAACTACAACGGAATACGGAAGATATATATAAAAAATATGTCATACACAACAATTTGTTATACTAATGTGGATGATATTTCATCCAAACAACAACAACAACAACCACACATACCATCACCTCTTTTGAACTCCAATAATCAGTGCAGTAGCAGTGCCAATAGCCTTGAAAATGATACCAATCCCAAATTGAAAATCCACAAAAATGTACACAACAAACCAAAATTACCAACTCCAACAAAAACTACATCAACCCCAATGCCAACAACTGTAGCGATGAATTGTAGTATCAACACAGCAGGAAATACAAATGATGCCACCCAACTACCATTGTGTATCGTACATGATTCCGCTGCTGCGGAGGGTATTAACAATATGGGCTTTGTGGGTAATTTTCCCGCACATACCGGCAGCGGAAGTCAACAGAGTGCGCTAGCAATGGAAGAAGTGCAACGTCGTCGTTCTGAGTATGCGATAGCCTATGCAACGGATGCCTTGCAAAGTGATAGTAACTATTTAAGCAGTATTAATCGGACACGTCCACTGTCGTATGTTCAAACGAAATTAACCAAAAATGGCTATGCTAGTGTGCTGCAAAGACAGGAACTTGAAGCTACAACAACAATGATGAGCAGCAATCAGCGACCGTGTATGAACACCAAAAAGTACGCAAATATATTAAGTAATGGTAGTTCTGGTAATGTATCTATTGAACCAACACTTGAAATTTACATTAAGACTGAAAAGTTTTCGGAAATTCTCATTTAAAATTCGCGCGCTGTATATTTTTCGATATTTTAAGTTTATGTAGTTTGGCAGCCCTGTCCTTAATTACTATGCCAAAAATGAGCGCGATCTGTCAGACAGTTCGTTTACGGCAGCTGTTGAAACCAGTTCACCTCAGTAGTGCGTTGCGAAATGTCTTCGACGGTCGTACGACCGTCCTGAAAGGCTTTGTACCACTCATAAACTTGAGTTTTCGATAAAACTGATTTCCCATAAGCCTTTTGTAGCATTCGCAACGATTCTGCACACGAAATTTCGTTCGAAACACAAAATTTGATGCAAACTCTTTGTTCAATATTTTTTTCCATTGTTTTTTCCGCAACGCACTACTGAGGTGAACTGGTTTCAACAGCTGCCGTAAACGAACTGTCTGACAGATCGCGCTCATTTTTGGCATAGTAATTGTCCTTAATTGCTGCAAAACTACATAAACTTAAAATATCGAAAAATATACAGCGCGCGAATTTTAAATGAGAATTTCCGAAAACTTTTCGGTCTTAATGTAAGTTTGGTAAAATTTCTTTATAGGTGTTTGTAAGACATTTGAATTATAGCCTGCATCCAATTGCACAAAATGCTGACATAATGTTGCGTTACAATAACAATGACATATCTACAACGATATGACATTCGATATTTTGGAAAATTTTGTGAAATACACGTAGTGCAGTTTAATTTTCTTGAAACATTTGAATGAACCAAAACTAATAAACATATATTTTCAATAGATCCTTGCCGTCACATTTTTTTGATTTTCACTGCTTCTCCAAGACAACAGTCTTATTCCAAGACAACCTGACGATGGTCGTCTGTTATCTGTTTCATATTTTGCTCTAATAAAATTATTTCACTTTATTGTCTTCACTGTATGTTGATATGGTTCCAAGCTAGATGCTTGGTTGTTCTTTAGTGCCACCGCTATCTCGTGACAACTTGCGTGTCGGTGTTGCTCTGCCAGATGCAAAATTTAAGCGGGTTTTAATGACTTGCCGACCAGAGTGATGTGCTTCTTCAACAGTGAAACTGGCGTTCAATCACAGCACCATCACTGCAAACCCACACATTTTTCGACATCAAACATCGTTTTTTCTTAAGATATTTCAGTAATCATAACTTCACTAGAATATGTAGTCTGAAATGTCATCTTTCAAACACGTATTCGTATGACAAAATCGGATAAGTGTTGCCCGATATATGGTACTAACACTATATTAAGATAAGAAACCGCGAATACTTTTTAATATCATCCAATATGTGCATATGCATCTGTTTTAACAATTTTTCATTTAGTTGAATATAACTTTTCGATTACATGTATCAAAAATATTTAAATCTTTCAGATTTTTTTAATAGTTTACTTACTCTCTAATAATACTTCCTCCTATCAGTAGTAAAACAGAAAATAATTAAAAAAAGACTTAATCAATTAGATCTTATTACCATCAACTCAAGTGCTTATCCATACAAGCAAGGTTAGCTTCCTTCTACCATAAAATATTTAAAATTCATCTTCTCATCATATGTAAACTATCTGTATTGAAGTTAAAAAATAATCTCCCATATCTTCCTGCTTTTATTTCAGTTCACAAAATAATCTATGCAATGGTGGCATATCTGGTAATCACATACTACCTACCAAAATACAAAATAATACCAGTCCGAATGGACAGAAGAAGGGCACAGTTTCATTATCACACCTACCGCAGCGTCCACCAGTTGATATTGAATTTTGTGATATATCCTATTCGGTGTCGGAAGGACGACGACGTGGCTTTAAAACAATACTGAAAGGCGTTTCGGGTAAATTTCGAAATGGCGAGCTTACTGCAATTATGGGTCCATCTGGTGCTGGCAAGAGTACGCTTATGAATATTTTAGCAGGTTACAAGTAAGTAAACACACACATGTTCTTTCAAATAAATAAAGGTAAAGCGATGTAAATTTCAAAATAGGTGCTCTGCGGTAATCCCGTGCTGTTGTAATTTAATAAGTTTTTTTAATGCATATAGAGCAGATTAGTTATTTCGCCTTCAAATTTTTTTTCCTTATTGTTGGATTTGTGGGGCTTCTCAGATTTAATGCGTATGAAATTCATTGAGGTCGAAAGATACAATCAAAACACTAACTTTCAATTCCATTTATGCTCTACTCGTATGCAACATAAAAACTTATTCGACTTCCTTGAATACACGAGGTCCTTACTGTTTTTAGAACACAGCAATATGTTAAAAAGTGGACTAGTTGGGAAAGTAAATGTGGCTTCACCACAAATCACTTTTAAACCAATTACCCTATTAAAATTTAAGGCTTCAAGACTTAACGTATAGAGTTTTGATTAAAATCTAAAAAGGTTACTAAAAAGTTTTGATGAATTTATCAAATCAGAATATACCATAACTCACATGTAAATGGAAATTTGGAAATTAAACTGCTTTATACAATATAATAACAGGATATATGGTATAATAAAATTTACTTATTTTTATACATACATACATACATACATGCATACATACATACATACATACATATAATTTTTCATCATTCGCGATAGATTTTTCTGAGCTATTTGGTATTGTGTTTAAGTAGTTAACTTTAAATTTCGTCCAGCTATTAAACGTTCGACATTTAATCACAACAGTTCCATACGTTCAAGTCATTTTCTATGATTCTATAAATAAATATCCTTGACGAAGTTTTATTTTAATAACTGCATGTCTTCTCTCCATCTTACAGAACGGCTCAATTGAGCGGCTCAGTATTGATAAATGGCAAAGAACGCAATTTACGTCGCTTCCGGAAGCTGTCTTGTTACATTATGCAAGACGATGTGCTCATTGCGAATCTCTCTGTCCGTGAAGCAATGATGATATCTGCCAATCTGAAATTGGGTAAGAACATGAGCAAGGCTGCCAAAAAAGTTGTTGTTAATGAAATTCTCGAAACGATTGGCTTAATGGAATCAAGCAATACTCAGACTTGTAATCTCTCGGGTGGACAACGTAAACGTCTGTCTATAGCATTAGAATTGGTCAACAATCCACCTGTTATGTTTTTCGATGAGCCCACATCTGGCCTAGACAGTTCAACATGCTTCCAGTTAATATCATTGCTCAAGTCATTAGCACGTGGTGGCCGCACTATAGTTTGCACTATTCATCAACCCTCTGCACGTTTATTTGAGAAATTTGATCATCTCTATATGTTGGCCGAGGGACAATGCATGTATCAAGGACGTGTACGCGGCTTGGTGCCATTTTTATCATCATTAGGTTACGATTGTCCATCATATCACAATCCAGCTGATTATGTGCTCGAAGTAGCCTCGGGTGAGTACGGCGAATGTGTGAGCAAGCTGGTGTGTGCTGTTAAGAGCGGTATGTGCAAGAAGTACAGTCAAAAAGACTATGGTGTTGGTTTGGTTAATGCAAAGGTTATAGCAAATGACATAGCTAAGGGTGGTGGTTGCAGTAGTGGTGTAAATGCCACCACTGCCACTACAACTGTAACACTGGAAGATGAGAAAAATAAACTGGATGAATTACCAACAGCCGAAGATGAATTAGGCGAACTTAAACCACCGAAACTAGAAACACAACAATCACAACAATCTGATTGCACTGTTATAAATATGTCCATGCCTAGCAATGGGAGTAGTAGTTCTGGTGCCATACCGTTTGGCGCGAATGGCAACGATGATAGCTGCAGCTTCAGTTCAAAGGGAGGTCAGAGCGCCCATGCAGTGGGAACTAATGCTAATACGGCTGGCTGCACTACATCGTTATTGGATTCGCATGAGAGTGTTATAACATTACCGAATAAGTCGGGTTTCCCCACAAGTGGCTGGACACAATTTTGGATATTGCTCAAACGTTCCTTCGTTACAATAATGCGTGATCGCATGCTGACGCATATGCGTCTGGCATCGCATATAATTGTTGGTGCAATTATTGGCATGATCTACTACGATGTTGGTAATGAGGCTTCCAAAGTAATGAGCAATGCTGGTTGCATTTTCTTTACAACTTTATTCACCATGTTTACGGCCATGATGCCAACTATTTTAACATGTAAGTTTATTCCATTATTAACAAAAAACATTTTGTTCATTTTTTTAATTTACAGTTCCAACCGAGATGTCTGTATTTGTGCGAGAACATCTCAACTATTGGTATTCGTTGAAAGCATTCTATTTTGCCAAAACCATGGCTGATCTGCCATTTCAGGTAAATTAATAGAAATATAAATATCCCTTTGGATTTTTGTTTTAATTTCTCCATTTCAATGCAGATCATCTTCTCAAGCGTTTATGTGATTGTTGTCTACTATTTGACTTCCCAACCTATGGAATTGCAGCGGGTATCGATGTTCGTTTTTATTTGTGTCCTCACCTCCCTGGTGGCTCAATCGCTCGGTCTACTTATCGGCGCTGGTTTGAATATCGAGGCAGGCGTATTTTTAGGCCCGGTCACGACAATACCTACAATATTGTTTTCGGGCTTCTTTGTCAACTTCGATACCATACCAGGTTATCTGCAATGGGTGACTTATGTCAGCTATGTACGCTATGGCTTTGAAGGTAAGCGTTGAGAATTTATCACATAATTCCTTTTGTAATAATTGCTTCTCTACTTATCTCTTATCTCAGGCGCTATGGTCTCCATTTATGGCATGGATCGTGCTAAATTACAATGCAGTGAAATGTATTGCCACTTCCGCAGCCCCAAAAAGTTCCTCGAAGAAATGTCCATGGACACTGCAGTTTACTGGGTCGATGCGGTGGCACTAATTGGCACATTCATCGCTCTACGTATAATCGCGTACTTCGTATTACGCTGGAAATTGCATTTGATACGTTAAATATCGTTAGTCTATTATTATTAATATTAATATTATGATTATTATTAGTATGTCTGCATATATATATATATATATGTATATATATATATATATGAATAATTGTAATTGTATTTGTAACTGAATTTGTACTAGAAATTAGTGAACATAATCATTTTCATCAGGATCATTTTACTCAATTGACAAATACGAGTATTTATTATTGTTTTATGTATTTTAATTGATAATTCGTTCCGTTTAGTAAATTAGCAATGCGATATTATTATCAATTAATTAATAAACTTAAGTATTTTTTATATATTATTTTAATACTTACATCTTAATTGGTAGCAAATTGTATGTACGTGCTGTTATGACTATTTTTACACCTTAGGATACATTTAAATGCGTTTGTAATCCACAGATAAAAAATACAAAGTGATTATTATTAAGTACTATTAGTTAATTAATTAAGGGTGCATGTGTGCATGAGGTGCTTTTTTTCTATTCATTTTTAATGGATTTTTTTTATCAATTTAATGTTTATTTTTAATTATTTAATTATTTTTAATTTTTAATTTTTTATATGTTTATTACAATTTTTTATGAATTCTTTAATTTTAAAAAAACCTATAAATATACACAAAGCATTATCGAGAGACATACCAAATATTATTGAAATTACAATAAAATTGTAAACTCCAGCAAGATATAAACAAAATCGATACATATGTGATTTATTATTAATATTAGTAACATTTCAGACACGTAATAAAATTTAAAATATTTTAAAATATGTATTGCAATGTGCAATGTGATCACAATTTCATTGTCTCATGATTCCTTCGAAACAGTGCTGATTAGCTGATTAGCTGAATGCGATGAATATTGTTAAATTAAAAACAAAATAAAAAACTTTGAACTCATACTTTAGTTTTCAACTATTTTTGATATATATTTTTTAAAAACTATAACAAGTGGTATTGTATATTTTGTTATTATTTTGTCAATTATCAATTTATTTATATGGGCTCAGCAAGGAACTACATATCTCAAAATTGACAAATCTCTTAGGGTCGCAGTCTTATTCTAATGAGTTAGAATAATTGAGGTACCTCTAGACAGAAATACTTAGACTTACCTCTAAACTTTGTATATTGAATTTGTTTGCTAATAATTATAATTAATTATTTAATACTTATTTGAAATTAAGTTTTTGTGAAAGAATATTTATAATTTACGAGACTCACATATGTCACACTCACATATATAAAGAAGTTTTCAAAATTTTACATGTGTCACTGACTCAATTGATAGAAATAACTCTTCGTATTTAACACTCTTCATAAAAATAGTATTTCAGTTTCAGTTTCAGAAATAATAGGTATACTAAACTGCTCAAGCAGTTTTGTCAGTTCAAGATTTCCATTATAGATAACTTGTTGCATTTCTGAAAAGAATGATCTATAAAATTTTCTATTGTATATTAAGATTTTTAGATATATAAACTGAAGAGTTGTAAATACCTGATCCCTCTATAGCTATATTTTCAAAAATTATAAAACAAATTCTTGACTGATTACTGAAAATTAATAAATGACAATTGAACTTATCGATTTGCTTCGATACTGAGTTGTAATTGTAGTACCATTGAAGAAATAAAAGCACATTCATCCGAATTTCAAGGTATCTCTCTTAACGCAAGATTTTACTGTATGGGTGACAACTGGGCTAATGTATCACCACATCACTAAAAATAAAATAAAATCATTGTTATACAGAATAATGATATTTATTACAAGACTAGTTATATACTTCAATATAGTAATGGCAAAAAAAATATTTTCTTAAGGTCGTTGGTTGTTAGGTTGTTAGCCCTAACTTCAGGAGAATATCTCCAGAAGTTGAAGAGCACTGAAAATTTCATTACACTCTATAAATGTATGAAATGCAGAGTAGTTTTCATGTTATTTGTGCAGAATATTTGATTACACTGTTACACTTAGTGACATATAGTCCGCTTATTTGTTAGGATCATAAAATACTTCTATACATAATAACCAATGGTTTTGTCAATGTTTTATAGAAATAAAATGTTAATATAGCAAATGAAAAAATGTTAAATGTTAATTGTCATCTTTGGGTATTCACGTCTTCCAAGCCGTTTATTAAAAATAACTTCAAAATATTTAAAGAGGCTGAATACTGGTATTCTAAGAAAAAATTTTTCTTCTACTCAAAGAAGGGACTAAAGTAGTGCATTATCTAGTGCACTATTTGTAGCTGCTCACAGTCATAGGTGTGTTAAATTTGTTTCTACCATATATATAAAATCACCATTCTTTATATATACATTCTTTATATAAAAATCAAAATTGGTACTTATTAGAAGGGTTTCAATCTCCACCATTTCGTAGGACCACAACGTATTTAAAATTTATTCCTTTCGATAGAATAGTCTGGCAGATATGATGTACCTACCATTCAAAACCAAAGAATTGAGAGAATACTAGGTCAGTATTTGTGGGATCTAGTTTATAAAATAACTTTTTATAAAAATACAACTATTTCTGCTATTACAACCGCCTTGTATGTCCAGAAATACCAAATAAGGCAAGGTATTCTCAAGAAGCAGATTCACTGACAGATGACACTGTATATTGGTAAATATTGACTTATTAAATACCTCTTGCCATATGATTTTATTCCAACGCCAACTTTTTTGTAGAGAGCATAGAGTGTAATGATAAAATAGGTTCTTTAATTCGATTTCAGAAATTGTAGGAAGAGACCAAAATAAAGCAAGAGGCACATAATTTATTATTTATTACAATCCAACTAAAAGTCAAATATAGTTATTATTTATTATATTTATAAATTTTTTAAAAAAATTTACTTGTGATCAATTTTATATAAAAAAAGACTTCACAGCACTGAGACTTCTTAGGCTTTCGGCTATATACACTATATTATTATGGGACAGCGTACCACATTATCTTCCACTTACATTATTTTACTAATTTGTATAGGTTTAAACGCTTTTGATTTAACTTCGCAGCCTACTTTTTGGCAGCATGCTTAGAACAATTGCAGCTTTTGTAACCAAAAGCTCTCAGATAATTTATAATTAAAATTAAAAAAAAACTTTTATGAGTCAGAATCGGAAACAATGAAAAGTTATTTAGAATTTAAAAAAGTAAATCGGTAGAAATCCACACATCAATATGTTTACAGAATATGGCTTGCTTATCATCAACTCAGGTCAAGAAATTTCTGAGAATGTCGATCTTCAGAAAATTAATTTTTGTTTTGAATTATCGCAACAAATAATAAATTTATATATAAAAAAATAGAGTAGGAAGCTAGAATCATTTATACAGACCTTTCAAGATACGGAAGTAGATAATCCACTGAATTCAATACCACAAAGTATTTTGTGTTGCAAATTTTTAAGAAAAATATGACTAATAATTTACTAAAAAAAATAATTATTTTAAGAACTTGATTTATAAATTTATAAATATCAATTTAATAATTTATTTAGGTATTTAGGGTATTTAGTAGAGAGCATCAGTATGGAAACGGAATGCCCTCTTCAATGAATGGAGAAAATGTCTTCAACTAAAAAATCACATTACGTATATATGTCGCTTTAATACCTGACATCCTATATACGTATATTATACGTACATAATAAACATTCGTATCCATGCATTTATGGACGTAGTTGGGAAGCGTGTTATACTCTTAATTCAAATATGGCTTCAATTTCTACGCAATGGCTACCTGATCATACAAATGCTTTTGCCACCGGTTTATAGCATTTAGGGACAACCATTATCCACATGAGCCATTTCTTTTATTATAAAATATTGTAAAATATTTTCTCGGGCACAGTCTTACGTCCATGCACTCATTATTAAAATCTTTTTAAAAAAATTACGAAGTTCACTTAGTCTTCATTCCATCCATAGAATAGTGA